GCTGTCCGTCTACTTTTAGGTATCGGCCTGTTGACACTGTTCACGAAAAAATTTATTCTTAGATAAAAGGTTCGGCTAAATTGAAGAAGGCTTAGAACGCGGTTTTGTTAAACGACGGCTAAACCTCGTTTAAATAACCGGTCCTAAATCTCTGAGCTTCTCCAAAAGGAATATTTATTTGTAATAGATGTTTCTTGCGATTAATAAGGCAATGATTTATCGATGAAATTAGAATCTATTAGAAGATTGCAGACACCCGCCATCCAAACCACACAATTTTTCAACGACACAAAACGGTATGTATTTATAACGGGTTGTAACTTATCTAAGTATAAAAATCACAATTCCTTAATTGTGATTGGTTTAAACAAATTATTTTCTACTAATTCACTTGCCAAGTTGTTATCGGACAGCTTGTTATCGGACAGTTCAATAAGCCAATCACATTCAAAGTTTTAGTTGAAATCAACCAATCACAACCTTGGTTTCCTTTGTCAATTTTTAAATGCAAAATTCCTCTCTCTTCCACACCTTGCCTATTCACGTTTCCTCGGATATCGTAACTATTTGTTCAGTTATTTTGCAATAATTTTTTTTAATTCAAAGTTGCACTTTTGAGCAAAGTTTTCAGTATAGAAGCTTTATCTCTAGAAATAAGGAAAAATTCCAAAACCCGGGACATCCGACATTACCACCAAATTTCACAAAAGTTGACCGAATACCAGCCGAGAATAAACTCTCCAAAGATCAGAACTCAAGCCAAAACAATTTACCAGAAAAAGCGTCTTGAAATGTTTCGAGACGTCAATGTTTGTTTACATAAATGCGTTTCCACTCTACATCTGGCTGTTACGCAGTCACATTGGAGGAAGCCATTTGACACTGATTTGCCTGTCGGCGCTGATGCGTGCTAAAGAGCAAAGAGCGGACAGGATTTGTGAGGACATGGGAAAATGAAGTGTAACTCACGTGAATATGTAGCTAATTGCGTCCATATGGAAGGTGCTTCAACCAGCAAAAAGAGGAGGAGAGAGGTCAGGCAAAGGAAGGAGAGCTACACTGGAAACAACACACCCTTTCAAAATCGATACTCGAAGTATAATGCTACGCGAATAATGATGGACGATCGTCGATATTTTTCGCGAACTAGCGCCTCCGGCAACTTCAATAGACATGAGCAATAATTCCGCTCCGGTGCAAACTCTAAAGAAATTTTCCTTTCAAACGGCAAAAAGGACTTGTAGCTTTTAGACATAATATCAACTTGAAAACAAGAATTGAACAAAAAAATCTATTTCTAGCTTTCGGCAAAAAACTAGTTTAAGCAGACCTGAAAACAAATGGGGGATGTCGGAATTGTACGAAACTGCACAGTGTGCTTTTAAAATCAACAGTGGTTTTGAAATCGTTAATTTGGGTGAAGAGAAAAAGTTTACATAAAGTGTCATCAATCTCGCGCCTTCCGTGCTAGTCTTAAATTACTCTTTGCTTTTTATCTCTGAAAGTGAAAAAAAAAAAAAAAAACACCAGAAATTGATAGAATTTTCAGGAAATCGAAAAAATACTGCCTTTTCCTTCTGAAGTACCTTAATTGGTAATAAGACTTCGTGTCGTCCAATTCGGTCTGTAATCATACTTGTGACAAACAAATCGGAATCCCGCTGCGCGGTCCATCGATTTTGTTATCCCTCGTATGATTACAGACCGAATTTGACTCCACTCAGTCCCATTACCGCTACTAAACTCTTTATGCGGGCAGTTTCTTTCTTAAAATAAAAACAAAACAAACAAATCATATGACATATATAGGCATGTTATTGAGTAACTTTGAGATGACTTACTGACTTCTATTAAATAAAAGAAATTATGTCTATGACAAAATACATCACAGTTAGAAGTCAACCGGTTCAATTCCAAGTTTCATCGGCTGAAAAAGAGGCCGGCAGTTTTATTCGAAAAGAAAAAAATTTGTCTCGTTGTAAGGTTAGTTTCGCCATCATTCATTTGTTGAGCGGAGAATAGTGAAGGGGAAAGAGGAGGAATCTGTCTTTCTTGATTTTTCTTATTATTTATTGCTTTTCATTTGCTGGAGGGGGTGCGTTTTTCTTCTCCGCCGCTGAGTGTAGAGAAATCGATTTTTAGACTTGTAATGCTTTTAGGCAGATGTTATTAATTATTAATTAACCTTCTTAGACGATTAGTAAAATGATTTAAATAAACTAGTTGCCCCCAATGGATTGTATACTTAAAAGATAAGGAGACAAACACGTTTCGTTGGAGCCACACCAATAGACTCCTAGAGAGAATACAACAAATTGAGCCCCACGTATCATTGATTGGAAGAGAATCACAAAGGTTCGATTAAAGAGGAACACATTCTACAACAGGTTTTCAGATCAGCTTGTTAATCTCACCGGAAGCTGGTATAGAATCCAATGTGCGCCATGAAAAATGCGATCAGTCCTCTTCTGTCTTTGTGCCTTCTGTTGTCTGCTTCTGTCTCGTCTCAAGGTTAGTTTCTCCAGTGCCTTATTTTGAGTGGAGGATAGCGAGGGTAAATTAGTATATATGCAGAACGATTCGCATCAGTCATACTTGTCGGTTAACACCTGTCATTTCTCTAAATGAAGTATAAGTTTTCTTATCTTCACTATAAAAAACCTTATAACCGCGGTTTAAAACCTCCTTGACTTTGATAAACTGGAGGTTTGTGGAGTCATACCAAAGGCCACCTTGAACTTCAAACAATTTCGGGAGATAATTCTAAATAAGACGACGGGGACTTCTTAAAACAAAAATCCTTTCAAAAGTCGCACATGCACTCATGAATAAAATACTGGCTAAACACATGTCAATTTCTCGCGCAAACACCGAAAGGAAGGCATAGGAAATAGCCCGTGTTTTGCGAAATTAACGAAAGATAAATAAAAACGTTCATGGATTTAATTTTAAGGGTGCCAAATTATGGAAAAGGAACACCAAAGACTTTTCGAGCAAAGTGGCATGACAATTCCACAGACTAAACATTGCCCCTTTCTGTGCTTCAAAGTCCGCATAGGCCCAGACAAATCACCTCTGTAAGTTCCTTTTTAAAAAGCGCCTACCAATACCGTGCCACAAATCCACTATCTAAGGCTGACAAATCGTCTCAATGGGGGGGGGGGGGGGGTGGCTTCTACGGGTAACAGTTAAAGTTTTGGTCATTTTGCTGCAAATGGTTCATTTAACCCCAGTAATATTTTAAAATAATTTTTTTACGGTGAGCTTTTTTATGACTAACCATTAAAGTTCGTCAATTATTACGCTTAACGGTCATTTTTTTTCTAACAGTAAACCCCATTGAAACCCTTTTGTATATATGTGCTTATATCACTTAAATGCGATATTATCATCAATCCATTTTATTCGCATTGTCCTTGGGAAGTGTTAGCGGACATAAATTCTTCGATTTATCTGCTTTCCCAAAATTATAGAAAAAAGAATATATTTTCTCAACCGACAGTGACAGTCACCTTGGAAACCGAAGATAATCAAGAAACTTCACCACAGATGTCCAGGCAGAGTCTGCTTTCCTTGGACAAGTTTCAATACCTCAATGCACCAAAACTTGAAGAAATCATTATACACGACGACTTTGAATGCATGTTTAGGTGCCTTCACCATCCTCTGTGTGTTTCCGTGAACGTGGTTGCCAAAGGTGAACTGTGGTGTGAGTTACTGTCAGCTTATGAGAACAACAATCCTATCGAGTACAAAGAAACCAAGAATTTGCATCATTATCACTTTTTGGTAAGAGACTATCTTCATCTTTTACTCAAAATGATACCCTGTTTGCATCAAGTCCAAATGAAGATTTTTCCTGGACCATGTCTTACATGGTTAGCGAGGAAAATACAAATGCGAAGGGAAAAATATTACTCATTAACACGAGGCTAAGCTATAGAAGGTCATGACCTATTAAATTTCTCGTTCATTTTTATCCATTGCATTCTAGCCAGTTCTACAGTGTTGTTATGATGAAAAAAAACATGGGTATAACTGTTTACATTCATCGATTTAAGGGATTCCTGTTTTTCTCTGCGTTTTAGTTTTAATTTAGAGTTTTTGTGTTTGGAAGGAGGGGTCTCAAAACGACCTCATATTTTCAGAATGGAGAAGGCTTATAAGGTAGAAGTTAATTGCCTTACTATAGCTTTAAGGGTTAATATTTATTTATTTATTTCTGCTTTAGTATGCTTGTCTAAAAAATCCCTGCAAAAACAACTCTACTTGCCAAAATGATCTTACTGAGAAAGGTTATATCTGTTTGTGTTCAACTGGGTTCATGGGCCCAACTTGTGAAGAAGGTAAGACACGTTTCATTATCAAAAAAACCAAAAGTACAAAAACAAACAAACAAAAACACGTGAACATCTCAGTTCGTGACGTATTACTGGAAAATCCCAGGTTTAATACCGAGGGATCTTACATGTGCACATGTAAACCAGGATGCCATGGAGATGGATTGACGTGCGAGGGTAAGACTCTCAAAGTATGAGTAATCTAATGACTTAGCCCAAGCGCTGATCCTTTCTAATCTAATTGAGTTAGCATGGTAATTATCAATCAAAAGTGTGTTTACAACCAAGAGCGAGGGTTGTTCTGTGAGAATACCGTTCCGAGATTTCCACAGGTGTTTCGTTCCCTGCACACCACGAAGTTTTTTTCGCCTCCCCTCGCTTCGCCCAAGTTCATTTTATGTAATAAGTAAAAGATTAAAATAAACTTATTAAGATAGCTTCTCGAGCTGCCTGTTTCACTCAAAAACGACATTCGAATAGCTTACATTTGCTGAGTAAAAGTTCTTCATCAGTTTTAAACTAAATCTTACCTATCCTAAGTAGTATGAGTATTAAGGCATCATCAGGTTGGGGTGGGTATAAAATTATACAAATATACCTCAACAATACGAGAAATGCCTTTGTAATTCTATACTTCATCTTGTTTTAGGTCCTTTCTCCTCGTGTTCAGAAATTTACAAAAGTCAAAGGTACATAGAAATTGATAATTCTTTTTAGCTTAGGGTTAGGGTTAGGTTGAAAAATCCTAAAAATAAACCGAAATGTTGGTGAACGTCTTGTCGTAAGAGTAAAATTGAAATTATATAATAGAACCTTACCTTAACAGTCCCTTAGACACAGCGAAAACCGGCCATTTTAAAATGAAGGCCGTCATAGAGGGGTTGGTGTAGCATTGCATCTGTTTTTACAAAAAAAACAGCTCCTATTTGTATTTTCATGTTGGCTTGGTGAGTTTGTCAAAGTTCCCTGCACGAGCCCCTTTACTCATTTTGTAAATGTATTCATCATTTCTTAGATGTCAGGTCTACTTTACAGACCTTGAAAAGCTTTGCTATGTAATAAATCTACTTTTGTATATGAAAACATTTAAAATGCTTATCATAACTAAGGCTGAAAAAAGCCGCACAGCCCTGTGCAGTGTGAGAGAATTGAATAAAGGCATGAAAGAAAGAGCCACACTAGGTCCCTATGTCATGATCTACAGCCAATTTTCCCGTCCGGCCCTACCAATTAGTTCATAGTAACATGGTTATTACTCCAAGTTAATCAATAAATAAATGAAACAAATAATTAACAAGTAGAAAAAACGGCTTAACTTCAGTTCACAGGAAAATAGAGCTTATCAACTTCTACTAGATCATGCGAATGTCAATATTTACTGTCACATGACTGATGACCTTGACAGCTGCGGGGGTGGTGGATGGACGATGGTAATGAAAATGGATGGCTCAAAGGTATCGTGCTTCTCGTCTCTATTAAACTTGAGCCAAATGTTCTACTTAATAGGGAAAATTCAACTAGTGACCTGTTGAGAAAATGAGCTGTCATCAATATGCGCTAAATACCATATCTTAATGTATATCAAGATAATTGGAAATTGGCCACCGGCCGTAAGGAGTTTCAAGACTGACGTAAAACCGACTGTGTGGAAGACACTTTTCCCTTTACAATCTTCCTTGCAAAGGGTGATATGACCAAGGTTTATCCTCAAACATTGGCTGCGTAAACTAATCGTGAAATTGCAAATTCATGAATGAATTCAGACGAATTTTATTCTAAACCAGTTAACCATCCTAAATCTTTAGCTTCAATATTAATTCACCTGAAAGACTGACGCAAAAGGAGCCGGAAAACTAAAAAACAACAATAACAATGACAACCTAGAGGCTCAATGCCGAAGGCTTCAAATTCACCTAAACTAGACAGATCACTTTCCCTGCTCTCGCTGTAAAAACATTTCGCATTATTCTACCCGTTTTGGTTCTAAAAATTATCTGCATATGGATTCAACCATCATTCAATTAGTTTCAAATTTTCCATCTACATAGCAAACCTTCAACTATAATTCGGAACTTTGGATTAACACTGATGACTTCAATCCTCAAGGTGGGGAGACTGGGTTTGACTTAAATGAGACCAAGCTACCGACTTACTGGAACACATCGTTCTCTAAGATCTGTCTTGGAATGAAGCTCGGCGATCTTTTAAGGTTCACTGTCATCAAAAAGGAAGCAAGTTCTTTGTACTCACTGATCGCTGACGGACAATATCGTGAAACATCACTGGGTCGTGACACATGGAAGTCGCTGATTGGCTCCGAGGCCTCTCTACAATTAAATTGCAACAAGGAAGGGTTCAATGCTGTGGTTAAAGATCAGCTTTCCAAAGCAAGAATTGGTATCATTGCCAATAACCAAAATGATTGCAAATCCTGTGATTCCAGAATTGGCTTTGGCACAGGTGGCTCTCCTGACCACTCCAACACGTGTGGGAACACTGCAAAACACGGAGGGGATAATGGAGACAAACACATCAAAGCCCTGGGCTACATCTTGGTTCAGTGAAGAGATAACCAATATTATCGCCAGGAAATGGACAAAAAGCTAACCAAAACGTTTTAAACATTTAGATGTTCCAAAAGGGGTCCGAAGAAACAAGTAGACATTGAGCACGAATCGATCTAGTTTCGTTTGTATAAGATTTCCCAAAACAAATTTCAACTTGCAATTTCCGATAAACATCAACGTTTCGCTGTTAGTCCAAGGAGAGGAAGGGGGTGGGGCGGCAGGAATGGAAGGGTTGTAGGGGGATGGGCGGGCAAAAGCCCTTCAGGTAATTGAAAAGATAGCGAGTCACCCCCAGCGTAGTCCACCCAGATTCATAAGACCAATGAAATATGTATAAGTGGTTAACAGCCTGGTGTTGTATGGAAAACGCATACCATATTTAATTACACAATTTTTCGATACAAATGTTAATAGTGCACGTCTAGTAACCTCAGCGTTCATTTATCTTTTCTGAAAACTTGCGGGCAGCGAATGGAATAACAGATGACCTCGGTAAAAAAAAAATACCAGTCACCAATACTATTACTATCATCATAATCACTTTGTTAAATGAGTAGAGAACAACAAATCTTAGGAAACCGAAGAATATTACAATTAAGCTATGGTGCACAAAACTATGGTTGATTTTGGCAATATTGCATTATACATATACCGTATTTCTTCACCTATAAGCCGAGACCCTAAAAGTTAGAGACCTTTCATCAGACTTGTGTTGTCCAAATGAAAAAGCAAAACCATCGGCTATAAGCCGAGAGCGAAATTCTTGATTGTAACTGGTCATTTGCGTGAGCGAACTTCACGGAAAACATTGGGAAATAGCTCAATGCACACAAAAGCTAATGAATGAGAGTAAACACAAAAGAGAAGAAGCAAATTAGTGAAGATGTAAATACTAATACGCGAATGCAGAAACACAACAATACTCTCAGTCACTGTATCCTGACAAACGTTTCGATCGAGTATCTCTTTCGTCATTGTAACTTTTCTCATCATGCCAAAAGCACGCCGCTCGTCGTATACTATGGCTTTGGAGATAAAAGTTATCGCGGAAGCTGAAGCTGTAGGAAACAACTCGGAAATAGCGCGAGATTATGGACTTAGCGAGTCCATGGTGCGACGCTAGAGAAGAGACTAGGCGACTATTCTTACTGGCGAGCTTAAGATGTCTGCAGAACGTGCAAAAATGGGCCGTTTCAAGTGTCCCTAACCAGACGAACAAGGGAGTCGTTTTCGCAGCAAAGAGACCAAATATTTTATTCGTGATGTGAAATGAGAAGATTTTCGCTGAATTGATTGATATCGTCTTTCAATGCGTGGGAAGCAAAGAATCTGATTGGTGGTCAGAAATACGTTGTTGTTGTGACAATTTTAAAATATGTCACTTAAAGAGCGCTGCAGTCACGGAATTTACGGTCATTTCGCATCAACATTAACTTTGAACTTGTTTTTGAATCCCAAAAATCTCGCGAAAAAGCTCTCAAACTTTTGTGTCAAATACTGAAAAAATCGCTCGGCTTATAGGTGAGGAAATACGGTATATCTATACATATTTTTTGTTTTCCAGGTAGTTTCTCTGTACATAATAAGATTTCAATACTTCGGTTTTGATTTAAATTCTCAGATATTTGGAGGCTTATTTCATTATTTGCTGGTTTGTTTTACCTAACGATGTGACCGATGTAGGTCACCTTACATCGTTTTCATGATATCCTACTTGAGGGAAAGAAGGAAAGAAGCCCGGTATGTAGTTGAAAAGATAGAGATTCTTTCAAACCCTAATTTCATCAAATCATAAGAAACGAACAAGTAGCTACCTATTTTTTTTGTTTTTCCAAATCTTGGTTCTGGCGAAAGAATCGCTTTTATTATTTTGTTATCTTTCTATTTCACTAGTTGGTAGTTCCCAAGAAATGTTAACATCTCTTCTGGCATTTGAAATAATTGAAAATAGTTTTTCCTGTAGAAAAATTGCCAGTTACCCCGTATACAAACTTTCTGTTGTAATCTAGAGCTAGTTGTTGGAAAACAAAACAAAGCGAACGACAACAACCAAACTTTTTTCGGTATTTACATTAACATATCGATGTAACACATTTAGTTCCGACCTATTCGTGACCGTCATAAATGCAATTGCTCTCAGTAAACTATACAGCTCCTTAGTCTGGTCTAACGCCTCTTCCAAAACCCTTTCTGTCAGAAGTTCGCAGCTCGGACTATTACTAGAGCCAAAAAAATTGAACACATGACCTCATCACTCAAGAACCTGGGGTGGCTCCCCTTGAAAAAGCAGCCCTATCTTCGAGACTCCATTTTTTGCGTTTAAGTGCACAACAGGATCCGCCCTGACTTACCTGATATCACAATTAGTCACAAGATGACAGATATCTGACCGATGAACAAGAAACGCATTACAAATAAACATTCATTTATTTAAAATCGCTACAGGCAAGATATCATTTCATTGAAGGATAGGGAACTTATGGAATTCATTTGACAAAGATATAAAACTGTGTAAAAGTCCTGCAAAATTTTAGCAAATAAAAAAAGATGTTTTACAAATTTTTAAATCAAGACTTGTTACAGTATATAATTCTATACATCATACATTTGCTATATTGTATTTTACATGAACATTTTATTCTATTCTATCATATAAACTGCGGTGTTATCCGAGGATTTATAGCCCCGAGAAAATCCGTAACAACACACGTCAACAAATACGAAATTTTTCACGTGTGTTTGATATCGCTAATCAGCTGCGCCTCTCGGTCAGGTTGATGAATGAACGGCAAAGCCTTCACCATTCTTAATCCAAGTTCGTTGGTCGAATATTTTCGGATCATGGATTATGGCTGCTAAAAAAATTAAAAATCCGTATCGCTTACAGACAGTGACGTTCAAACTTTCCTAAGAGGGGAAGAAAACCAAAATACTAAAAGGCACACAGGCCGATTTGCCACAGGCTGATTTGTTCTTTCGGTAAGGACCAATTCAATACCTATGAATTTGTTCTGTGGTGATTCAACGCATGTTCTTATCTTGAGTGCGCCAACGCCCTTTTGCGATTTTTATTTAGGGATTGCCGATTCTTTTTATTTTCATTCATAAAACACTCGAAGAGAAATTTCATATCTACGCGCGCCCAGGTATTACTTTTCATGTAACGTATTTGTTTATCATATTATTAATTGAAGAATCTTTTTGCGGACATGTGCAATGAAGTTCAATTCAAGTCAATCATACCTGCCGTGGGGCATTGTATTTTTCATTTCGCCATTTAAATTTTCAATATAAAGCTGCAGAAGGATGATAATAGCCACCCGAAGACTCTGTAGTATTTTCTTCAAGTTAATTTCAAGGCTGAGGGAAAGTTTGAGCTCAATTGGAACAAAATAGGTTTGGCACATTTTTCAAAATTAGAGTTACCGTAATTATTCGAATAAACGCCTCCCTCAAATAAACGCCGCCCTCGAATAAACGCCGCAGGGACAAGAAAATATAGTATTAAACGCCACCCTCGAATAAACGCCGCAGGGACAAGCAAAAATAGTATTAAACGCCACCCTCGAATAAACGCCGCCCTCAAATAAACGCTGCAATCTTTCTCAACATTGCGTTTCTTGTGGTCGTAATTATGACTGACGGCAGTTTTAGCACGAAACCTACAACAAATAAGCAATGGCAGATTTAAATGGAGACAAAATATCACACAAAGGACAAAAAAGACATAAATACAGCCCTGAAGTAAAAAAACAAGCAATCGCCTACGCTGAAATACACGGAAATCGACCTGCATCTCGCCACTTTCAAGTCGATGAAAGAAGAATACGAGAATGGAGAGGGAAGAAGATTCAGAATGAAGGTGTCCTTGCGACAAGAGGTAACAAAGGCAAGCAAAGAACTCGATTGTGTGGAGCTGGCCGAAAACCGCTAGGCACAAAGTTAGAGGAAGTTTCAATGGAGTGGGTCGAAAGCAGACGATCGCGCGGTCTTCGAGTTTCCAGCAAGCTGATAATGAAGAAAGCCCAAGTAACATTTAACGATATGAACCAAAACGACGTGAGTGATATCGACTTCAAAGCTTCAAGAGGCTGGTTGACGAAATTTAAGAAGAGAAATGGTTTATCTTTGAGAAGAAAAACCTTTGTTGCTCAACAAGATCCAGAACGAATGATAGCTAAAGTCGTGTCATACGTAATTCAAGTAAGATGGCTGCAGAAAAAGCACAAATACAGCCACTCTAATATAAATGCAATGGATGAAACTCCAGTTTGGTGCGATATGGTAGCCGAAACCACTATTGACGCAGTCGGGAAAAAAGCATTACGCTGAAGACGACGGGTCATGAAAAGCCTAGAGTATCCGTTTGCTTAGCTGCCAAGGTCGATGGGACAAAACTTAAGCACATGGTAATATTTAAAGGAGCGAAACGAGAATCCGCGGCGCTAAACGAAGAGTTCAAACGTAGAGCGGTGGTAGCCACTTCGGTAAATGGATGGATGGACACCGAATTAACCCGTACCTGGATCAATCTGTTCGAGGAGCTTTTTCTTTCAACCGAAGGCTGTTAGCTTGGGACTCGAACGAATGTCACCTTGAGGACAGTGTTACCGACTCTCTCAAATCCAACAAAATCGACCGCGTGATTGTCCCCGTAGGTTGTACCAAGTACATACAGGCGCCAGACGTAAGTTGGAACAAACCATTTAAAGCGTCCCGCACAGAGAAGTACGATGAATGGCTGGCGACAGTAGGTATTCACGAAGAAACAGCAGCTGGGAATTTGAAAGCACCACCATCAAAAACAATTTTGCAGTGGATCCTGGATTCCTGGGCTGAATTGCCTACAAATGTGATTAAGAAATCGTTCACAAGTTGTGCATTGAACGTTCCAGTTGACGGTTCAGAAGATGACGCAACTCACTGTCTCAAGGAGGAACAGCCGTGTAGCACCGGACTAGCCGTCCTGAAGTCACAACTGGATATTCTCGACGAACCAGAAACGAATCCTTTCGACACTGAAGAATACACGTCTTCTGATGTTGAAGAGGCATGCCCGATTATTCAGTAGTTAGTCTCGGACCTCGAAGGAGACAGTGACATTGAAATAGACTGAAAGTCTGAAACTTACTGGTCTAGTCATTATATGAAAGACAGTGGACAGTTCAATTTTCATATATAATCATATAAATTGAAAAGACATATAACTTTTATTCTTTGTTTTTTTTGGGTTGATTGTATTGGTTAAATTGACGTTTAAATGACACAATAAATTCAAAGTTCTTGTTACAAGGTTTGCAATAAATGCCTCCCTCGAATAAACGCCGCCCTCAAATAAACACCGCATCTTAAGGGCCAAAAATTTAATAAACGCCGCGGCGTTTATTCGAATAGTTACGGTAACTGACGAAGGGCTAATGCTCGAAACGTCAGCCTTTTAACTCTTTACGGTGGCCAATTTACATTTTATACTCAGTTGTTGACACTAAATTACTTGCAACAGGAGGCGTGGTTTATTACTTGAACATACACGTATATGTTGTGCTTGAACCTTCTGATTCTGCCAAAAAAAGGAGAAAAAAAGAGTGTCTTTATTTATTGAGATAAAATTATAAGTTGTCTTGAAAAACCGCTTGGTAGAGTAATTTCGACGGCTCAGTGGAAATCAATTTGCTGAAAAAAGAAATGTTCCCTCTAATTAATCTAGTCGATGATACACCGTTATAATAGGAACATCACACAAACTTAACCACAAACCTACCAATTTCTCATCAACACAAAGTGGGATGTAATTTGGGAAGGGTTGTAGTTAGCTTTCGTGTTGTAGCAATTCTCGATAAGGAACAGTTTGAGCTCAAAGAAATATTTACGCTGTTTATGAAGTATAATAAAGCATTTCAGACATTGAGGGAAGGTCAAAAGAAATTTTAGAAGACCAGCCTCACTTCCATGCTGTCTTAGTCACGTGACTAATCTTGTGACTCGCAATTACTGAGCATGCATTCATGATAACGGCAACGTAGATTTATATCTTTGGTGCTATTTTGGTTCTATATGGCCCATAATAAACGAAGTTATAAGTTGTTTTATGTAAAAATAGAAGTTAAGTTTTTCGTTTGTCTCACGATGTAGTCACGTGCGATGTAGATCACGACGTTTCGACTGCATACTGCTAGTCTTCTTCAGGCGATGAGGTCGACTGGTCACGCGTGATCTTATAAAACATTAAAAGCTCTGATTGGTGCATTTCGATCCTTGCTGTTCACTCAGTGATTTGCTCCCTCGGAGGACCGCTGTCGCACAGCTCTCCTGTTGTTGTGTTTTTGATCGTGGGCATCCACGCTTCTGGAATTTCTATTCCACTATCCCTGTTAATGTTGTTAGGGTGAAGTCTTATATGAGTTGCCTCTTTGACCCTACGCGTGTAGTAAGAAGGGTCCCGATCAATAAACTTTAACTCGTTCCAGAGTGGCTTGTGTCCGGTGTTGTGGGCATGCTCTGAAATGGCGGAGGTCTCGGTACGGGCGAGTCGAATGTCTCGATCGTACTCCTTAATTTTGTCTTGCATAGGTCTTCCAGTCTCTCCGATGTACACCTTGCCGCATTCACAGGAAATCCTGTAAACTACGCCATCTTTTTTAGCCGACAGCGTCTTTTGGTCGTATTAACTGAAATTTTAGCGTAGTCTCTCACTTGAAAACAGCGCGTACGCCTTGTTGTTGTAGGCAACGGCGAAGCTGTTCGCACAGACCTTTGACATAAGGTAAACCGTAGTAGCTTTGAACTCGTTGGCGGGTTGGGCACTGTTGTTCGTTTTGCGGTCTTGGTAAGTTTCTGCAAGAAAGAAAAAAGATAACCATTAGAAACCAGAAAAGATGACAGATGTCTTTTCTCCTCGGAGATGACGGAGGGTTTTGTTACGAGACGTTTGGCGCGTTCGTAAAGGCACTTAACAGTACTGCGTTGTACTGATTGAGGGTAGCGTGAATCATACGCTAAGTATTGATCGGTGTGCGTGGGCTTCCTGTATACGCTGGTGGTGAGGCGGCCGTCAGGTTCTCTGCGGTGTCCAGCAAGGTGAGTTTGTTGTCTTTCTCTGTCTCCATGGTGAAGCGGATGGAAGGCTGGCTGTTTAGATGCTGTAGGAAGTCATCTACGTTTTTGCGATCCAGGATGGTAAAGGTATCGTCCACGTAGCGTTTCCAGATCCCAGGCTCGTAGGATGATGTAGTTATCGCCTCTTCTTCGAAACTCTCCCTGTAGTGGTTAGCAGAAACCGGACTCCCTATGGCGGCGCCGTCTTTTTGCTCGTAAATCGATCCGTTATACTGGAAGCATGTGGAACTCAATTCGAAGGTCAAAAGGTCAGTGATCTGTGCAGGCGTTAGCTTGGTGCGTTCTGCAAGGCTTGGGTCGTTCTCGAAGCTAAAGAACACTGGTTGTTTAACCATAGACCGCTTGCTGAACTTGAAGGAGCCATTTCAAATCAAATCCACAACATGAACGGTATGAAAATGGCGCCTTCGCAGTACTTAACCAAAGCTAGTCGCAAGTATCGGTTGCTTTGAGCGACAGGTTTGTACAGGACGAAAATAACATGATTCCGTAATTCGGAAGCATAACACCAGTGCTTTGAAATTTTGTTGTGTTTCACGAAATTTTGTTGTGTTTTAGTTTTCTAACTTTATTCTTCGGAGCACCCCCAATTCCTGTTTTTTGCCACGTTGAAAATTTTGATGTGGAAATGGGGCATGGACGCCAGTTATGGAGATTAAAGGTAACAAGGTGTGGCTACCTCGCTTTTAATTTTATTTTTTTAATGAATTAAATTTGCCCTTGTTTATTCTACCACAGTTGGCCGTAATGTCACAATCTGATTAGCCAATTTTCCCTTGTCGATTAGAGTACAGTCAACGCTGGTTGCGTCAATGTGTCATGCATTGCCTTTATCTTGGTCACGCAAAATAAAAATCACCTCATGAGTTCGCAACATTTTGACGGCTGTGATCACGGTTATCGTCGTCGATAAGAGTACCGACCACGCAAAACCATTGTCGATTTGTCAAATTGATGTTACTGAAAATTAAAGGTGCAATTGTTGTGAAATTTGCAGTTAACCATGAATTCGCTTTTATGGTTCTCTAGAGATTAAACAACGAAAGGTTTTTGTTATCTATGGATCAGAAACAAACACAAAATGAAGACATTAGGAAAGGAATTGAATAAAACCTGTTATTCTCTTTCCCCCCAACATTCAGTGTTTGTGGCTTCTTTTCTGTCAGCCCTCTTTGATAAATTGTTCCGATATAATATTCGAAGTCGACTGTTTTCCCGTTACCCCGTCTTCTCTTCTCTAAAATTTATACCTTTAACAGCAATTTTTTCCCAATAGCAATTTTTTTCACGACTCTTAGCCTTGAAGCAACAGAGGTGACCATAATTTTCATTTGCGTGTTGAAAATTCATCCATTTTTTTTTTCTGTTCATTCATTTATCTAAATCCAACTACTTTTCATTTTTAATAGACAACATTTCATTACCAATACCAACTTTGGAGTAACAAGGAGAGCTTGAACTTATCGGAGGGTGAAATTGGGTTTCACTCAGAAGAGACCAAGCTACCGTCCTACCGGAAAACATCCATCTCTAAGATCTGTATCGATATCAAGACTGACGAACAGATCAGGTTCAATGTCATCCATTAGAAAGCCAGTTCTCAGTACTCACTGATCGCTGACGGGAAATTCCACCAACTTCCTTAGATCGCGACAACTCACAGGCCTCCTTACAACTGAATTATAACAAGGAAGGTTTCAATGCAAAGAGTCCTTCTGCTCAGTCTAGCAACACAAGGATTGGATTTCTCGGTAACAACGAAGATTATTCCAGAAATTGTGATTCCAGAATTGGGTTTAGTACAGAAAAGCCCAGTGGTGAACACAACACTTGTGGTAACAGAGTAACAGACCATGGAGATAATGGCAACAAAGACATCAAAGCCATGGGGTACATCCATGTGCAGTGAGATGGAAACTATGTACTTTCCCAAGAACATACGCAAAATATGAATTAGATACATATAGATGTGGTTTAAGGGGTACAAAGTTATGGACACTAAGTTTAAACTAATCACCACCCTTTCCCAAGGACTACCTCAAATTGCTATTTTTAAAAGCCAATTTTCCTATAACATTGACATTTCGGAACTACTTTTGGTAGCAGGAGAAAAAAATTAAAATCCTGTAGGTTGGCACAGCCAGCCTCTTTAATAGCCATAGGACATTGTTTCGCCTCTCGGCGGCGCTGATGCGTGCTAGACAGCAAAGAGCGGACAGGATTTGTGGGGACTTATGTCGGGAAATTAAGTGTAATTCGCGTGAATATGTTGCTATTTGTGTCGATACAGAAGGTGCTTCAACCAGCAAAAAAAGGAGGAAAGAGGTCAGGCAGAGGAAGGAGAGCTATACTGGAAACAACACAGTTTTTCAATAATCGATACCCGAAGTCTAATGCTACGCGAATGATGGACTGCGGGTGATGTTTTTCCGCGAACTCGCGCCTTCGGCAACTTCGATAGATATAGGCTCTGGCCAATGAATCTCTTAATTCTAGCAAGAACCCCTATCACTACCAGTTAACAATAATTCCGCTTCGATGCAAAGTCTGAAGAAATTTTCCTTTTAAACGGCAGAAAGGACTTCAGTGTAGCTTTCAGACATGATAACAGCTTGAAAACAAGAGTTGAATTAAAAAGAAAAAACAACAATCTCTCTGCCTTTCGGTGAGAACTAATCTTGGTAGACTTGATAACAAATAAGTGATTTCGGAATTGTACGAAACTGCACAGTGTGCTTTTAAAATCAATTGGTTTTGAAATTGTTAATTTGGGTGACGAGAAGAAGTCGACATGAAGTGTCATCAATCTCGCGCCTTCCGTTCTAGTCTCAAATTCCTTTTTTCTTTTTATCTCTGAAAGTTTAAAGAATACCTTAATTGTAGTAAGAACCCCTATCACCATCAGTGAACAATAATTCCGCTCCGATGCAAGTGAACTCTAAAGAAATTTTCCTTTTAAACGGCAGAAAGGACATAGCTTTTAGACATGATAGCAGCTTGAAAACAAGAATTGAATAATAAAAACAAAACAATCTCTCTAGCTTTGGAAAGAACTAATGTAAGTAGACTTGATAACAAATAGTTGATTTCGGAACTGTACGAAACTGCACAGTGTGCTTTTAAAATCAACAGTGGTTTTGAAATCGTTAATTTGGGTGACGAGAAGAAGTTGACATCAATCTCGCGTCCTAGTTTCAAATTACTTTTTGCTTTTATCTCTGAAAGTAAAAAAGGAAAAAAAAAAAAAATACCAGAAGTTGATAGATCTTTATTTATTTTTTGAGAAGATATTGAATTTTCAGGGAATCGAAAACACAATTTTTTTTTCCTTCTGTAATACCTTAATTGGTAATAAGGCGCCGTGTCGTCCAATTCGGTCTGTAATCGTACTTGTGATAAACAAATCGGACTCCCGCTGCACGGTCGATCAATTTTGTTATCACTCGTATGATTACAGACCGAATTTGAATCCACTCAGTCCCATTACCATTACTAATGTCTTTTTGGGTACGGTTTTTTTCTTAAAGTTAAAAAAAACATATGACATATGACATATATAGGCATGTTATTGAGTAACTTTTCAAAACGCTTAGTACGAAAAATTGGGAGGACTTAGTGACTTCTATTGAATCAATAATGCTGTCTTTGACAAAATAAATTACAGTTTAAAGAATCAACCGGTTCAAACTCAAATTTCATTAACTGAAAGAAAGAGAGGCAGTTTTAGTCGAAAAGAAAAAAATTTTGTCTTGTCATAAGATTAGTTTTGCTATTATTCATTTTTGAGCGGAGAATGAAGAAGGGGAATGAGTAGGAACCTTTCTTTCTTGGGAAATCGATTTTTAGACTTGTAGTGCTATTAGGCAGATGTTATTAATCATTAATTAACCTGCCTAGACGATTAGGTTTAAATAATGTAGTTTCCCCCAATGGATTGAGTACTTAAAAGATAAGGTGACAAACACGTTTCGTTGGCGCCACACCAATAGATAGCCTCCTAGAAAGAAAACAACAAATTGAACCCCGCGTATTATTGGTTGGAAGAGAATCACAAAGGCTCGATTAAAGAGGAACACGTTCTAAAACAGGTTTTCAGATCAGCTTACTAATCTCGCGTGAAGTTGGTACAGAATCCGATGTGCGTCATGGAAAATACAATCTGTCCTCTTCTGTCTCTGTTCCTGCTGTTGTCTGCCTCTGTCTCGTCTCAAGGTTAGTTTTTCCAGAGCCTTATTTTGAGTGAAGGATGGTGAGGGTAAATTAGTAATATATGCAGAACGATTCTCATTAATCACACTTGTCGGTTAACACCTGTCATTTCTCTAAATTAGACATAAGTTTTCTTATCTTCACCATAGAAATCCCTTTATCCGCAGTTTAAAACCTTCATAAAATTCCTTTACTTTCTATCGGATAAAATTATAGGTGGATCGATGTCTTCATTTTCTCTCAATTCATATGGGTTCGTGTAAACATTTGTCCGCAACTAATTACCTACCAGATTATAAAGCTAAAAAATCATCAAGAACAGAGGTCAACATTTGACGGAAATTGAAAATTTAGAAGTCATCAAAATCGAGGAAGTTCGCTGGCTGTATTCTGAAAGATTTGTCATGTTGTTTTCTGAAAGATGTGTCACGTTGCACGTGAAATCGCTATTGCCAATAATAGAAAATATGAATATTAATAAGATAGAAATGTGAAATAATTATCTGCTTAATTGATCGATATCGCTCGTGTGTTTCAAGATCACAACTAACATAATCGGGGTCCGGATAATCGTTCCAGGGTAATTTACCTAAACCAACCATTACAAGATATTCAGTTCGTTTAATCAAACCTTGTGATAAAACAAAGGTTTCTAGGATAGAGCTCAGAGTTTAGGCTTTCATAGCTCATGTTTTTATCGTCTCGACCATGTCACACTTCATCCAGTCACAATGAACACAAACGGCAGATCGCCAAATATCACGCATCAAATTTTTATCACAGAAACACCAACCAGTCGACCGTTACTCTTAAACTAATCGCACCACAAGAATGCGCACTGAAATGATATTTAAAAAAACACAAAAAATGCCCTTGGAATAGGGGTATGTATGGGGGATCAGTATTCTCAGTTTATATTGTTATGTAGCATTTAGTAAGTTTCTAATTAAAAGTCAGTTAGTTATAGTCAGTTCAGTATGATTTAATTTTTCGTCTATATTTACAACGTATTTACGGTATGAATTCGAATTCCGAAGTTATTAAGGTTTGAGCTGTCGTGATAAGTTTACAAAGTGTCACAGCCTCAAGTGGACGTGCTTAGTTTGTTCACTGATCTTGCTTTAGACTTAGCCGAAAGTTCTTGTTTTGACGAACGCAGTCAGATGTTGATTCAGTTTAACGAAAGCATCATGATTTAATACTTTGTTTTTTAGATCGAAAGTCTCGTGAAATTGTGTGGTTTAGCGTTCTAAAAACAAGTGTTTGATTTCTCAAGGTCAACCAGCTAGCACGCCCACCCATATCTGTCCGTAGTGAATATATGAGCCTGTTCTTTACAGTTTACTTAGAAGAGATTGGGAAGAAGAGAGAAAAAATAATATAGAAAATAGAGAAAAGAGAAGACTAGAGGAATGTAGACAGCGTGCAAAAGAGTAGAGTCAGAATTCCGTAGTTGAAGAAGAAGCATGCAGTGAGAATCAAAGTTTGAGGGCCATGAAAATTAACCAGAGTTACACAAAATGCTAATGTAAAAGACCATTCGATCATGCATACCTCAAGCAAGCAAAAAAAACTTCTGTAAAATGACACCGCTATTCCAAATTCCAAAAGAAGATGATTACGAAGAACCGAGTAATAATAGAACGATTTCTCTACTGCCTGTTTTATCTCTCATTTTATGTAAAGACTCCCATTCAATCAAAGCGGAGATAAGAAATGGCTCTCAACTGAAAATTCATTAGTGTCTTTTATGAATGCTTCCTTACGAGCGATTGACCAGACTGTATCTATGTAAGTTATCAACCGGCAATCGGTGAGAGATACAAAACCGAGGGCTACGTGGATTACATCAAGCTACTTTTGCCTTACAAGGTTGGAGCAAAACATATCATCCATAACGATTTACATCTAAGCCGTACTTGGTCTTTAAAATTGTCTTTGCTCAACACGGAAAAGACTAAGCTTGTGGTCTTTGGCAGTCTCCCGACGAACCGCGGATTACAGGGTTCCAAGCTCTCGTGCTCGGAAAGCAACTCATGATGATAATAATAATAATAATAATAATAATAATAATAATGATGATGATGATGATGATGATAATAGCGGTGAGAATAATATAGGAAAGGACAGATATCTGACCGATCTGATAACAAATAAACGTTCAGTCAGTTAAAACCGCTACTGGCCAGAAATCATTCCATCGAAAGATAGGGAACGTAAGGAATTCATTTGAAAAAGATTCACAACTGTTTAAAGGTCCTACTAATTTAAGCAAATTAAAAAAAAGGGTTTAGCAAATTTTGAAATCAAGACTAATTGCAACATTGGAAAACCTTTTTGCGGGATTGTGCAATAAATTTTCATTCAAATCAATAATACCTGCCCTAGAGCATTGTTTTTTTTCATTTCGCCGCCCAAATTTTCAATCTAAGCCTGCAGAAGGATGATAATAGCCACCTGGAAATTGTGTAGAATAAATAAAATCATCTAATTTTCTTCAATTTTATTACAGTGCTGAGGGCAAAACATATTTGGCACATCTTATAAATTTAGCGTCAACTATATCAGCAAATTAAAGGCTTATTTCTCTCCGTTTAGTTTCTTCCTAAATCTAAATCTAGATCTAAGAATATTTTCAGACGGGTGCCACTGTTCGTTAAATTTATTCATTAATCATTAATTGCCTTTTAAAGAAGACGAGCGAAGTCATTTGAATAATTAAGTCTCACTCTTTGAATAAAATTCATATTAGCACCGATAGTAATTGTTTTTTATTTATTTTATTTGTTTTATTTTTTTTCCAATATTATGAAGCAGCAAAATTTTATTAATATTTCACTCGTCAAACGGAAATGGAAAATTTTTGTTGAACAGAAGATTATGAAGAGTGTTCACATAAGTGTCCACCTCCCTGAGGATTTTATTCTCGGAAAGTGTTCCGCACCATGAAAATTTTACATTCTATGTGTGTTCTGCTATTGTTAAACGGTATCGTGACTGCCTTTGTCACATCGCAAGGTTAGTCTCTGTAATCACTCCTCTCTGACTAAAAAATGTTAGGGAGTTTGATCTTCCATAATCACATCTAGCCCAAATATCTGCTATTTTTAAGAGGATATGTCTTGTTAGTTTTTTATCTTCATTATCAATACAATTTCGCTTAGCTGCATCTCGGCATGAAAATCATCATTTTGAAAACCAATTTCTTTAAACTCCTTGACCAAGTCAATTTTAGGTGGATAAATCGATGTACGGAAAGAGTCTTTTGCAACAGTAAACATAAGAAGTGACAGGTTATGCAGTAAAATTGCATGTACTTTCAAGTTTTATCTAGTCTCTATCTGTTTTAGTATGTACTGGATTCGTCCAAGAGGAAGCTTCATTTCGTGAATGTTGTCGTCTGAATGAATGCAAAGACTCATCCTTTTATTGCGCTGCTCCTGTAATGTGTCCACTGTATCGGTTGGCTTGGTAATAACCATGATCTCCGACAAAAAGTCGATTAATCTGTCATGGTTAAGTGAGAGACACAAGTTATCAACTCAACGCAATAGCTTTGGAGTAGTGTTTAGAAGTCCCTTAGCGGTGCAGTCGTTAAATAGTTCTTTTTGGGCCGAGAGGTCACCGAATTGAGCCGTTATCATTGCCCAATAATTTTATAACGAGATTTAGTTTGACACCGTGAACTGGAAGTATGCTGAAATCTGAAACTTGCTACCTGACAGGCAGCTTCATTAGCTGGTTTCACTGATCTGGACTTACTCTCAGATGTAATAACTTCGCTATTCAATCCTCTTTACTTAATTTACAGCTTAAGCGTCTGGTTGAAAAAAAGCAGAACTTATTTGAACTTCTTCGAATTAGTTTGAATTTACTGGCGATGAAAAATATAATTCTTCAATGACATTACCGAGATCGGGGGGTTTGCAATCGTCAACTTCTTAATTAAAGATACTGTAGTACGTTTCTCCGCAAGATGAATGGATTGCATCATCCAATTCTTCCTCTGGTGGCAGTATAAATCAGGGATTAATAGACGAACGCCTACAAGGTTTGAATGCTTTATCGATTAAAATTCTAAAATGAATGAATCAAACATCACTAGGTCGTGACACATGGAAGTCTCTGACTGGCTCTGAGGCCTCGTTACAAGATAATTGTAACAAGGAAGGGTTCAATGCTGCGGTTAAGGATCAGTTTTCCAAAGCAAGAATTGGTATAATTGCCAATACCCAAAAAGAGTGCGAATCCTGTGATTCCAGAATTGGCTTTGGCACAGGTGGCTCTCCTGACAACTCCAACACGTGTGGAGTTGTCAGGAGAGGGTTTCCCAAATCGAATTTGCAAAATCTCGTTTCCTATCAAAAGCAACGATTTGCTCGTTCTTAGTAACAGAGAGGGACATCTTATACAAAAATAATGCAGTCAAAAGTCGCACATTAACAAAAGAAATATGATAGCGTTTATGAAATTATCTGTAAGGACGCCAAATGATGGAACACTTAGCACTTTTCGAACAAAGTGATGTGGGAGTTCTTTAGACTAAAGATTTTATATTTTGAGCTTTCCACAGACTAAACATTTTATATTTTGAGCTTTCCACAGACTAAACATTACATTTCAATCCTTTTTAACAAAAAAATAATGCAGTCAAAAGTCGTTCATGCACTCATGAATAAGATATTGGCGGAACAAATTTCAATTCCTTACCGAAACACCGAAAGGAAGACATCGGAAATAGCCCGTGTTTTGCGAAATTCACAAAAGAAAATTGATAATGTTAATGGAATTATCTGTAAGGACGCCGAATAATGGAACACTTAGCACTTTTCGAACAAAGTAATGTGGCAATTCTAAAGACTAAAGATTTTATAATTCAAGCTTTCCAAGCCTTCTCCGTTTGACAGCGAAGTTTTTGTTTATATATTTAAGTTGCGTCACGTTACTCCTTTGCGTGGTTCAAGGTTCGCATAGGCACAGACAAATTACCTCTGTAAGATCTTTTTGAAAAAGTGCCTACCACTACCGTGAATCAAATCCAAAATCTAAAGCTGGCAAATCGATTTCCTTCGTTAGTTAAATATACATATATGACGGTCTCAATAAGGGGGATGGCTTTTACGGGTAACAGTTCAAGTTTTGGTCATTTTACAGCTAATGATTTAAATTCGTCAATTATTGTGCTTAACGGCTATTTTTTTTTTCTTCCTTCCTTGGTAGGGCTGACGGTAAACCCCATTGACACGCTCTTGTATTCTTATACCACTTAAATGTGATATTATTATCAATCCGTTTTATTCACGTTGTCCTTGGGAAGCGTTAGCGGACATAAATTCCTAGATGTGTCTGTTTTTCCCCAAATTATAGAAAAATGAATAATTATATTTTCTCAACCGACAGGAACAGTCACCTTGGAAACCGAGGATAATCAAGAAACTTCACCACAGATGTCTAGTCTGCTTTCCTTGGACAAGTTTCAATATCTGAATGCTCCTAAACTTGACGAAATCATTACATACGACGACTTTGAATGCATGTTTAGGTGTCTTCACCATCCTCTGTGTGTTTCCGTAAACCTGGTTGCCGAAGGTGAACTGCGGTGTGAGTTACTGTCACCTCACGAGAACAGCAATCTTATCGAGTACAAAGAAAATAAGAATGCGCATCATTCTCACTTTTTGGTAAGGGATTATTTTGATCTTTAACTCAAACCGATAGCTTATTTGCATCAATGAAGTCCAAACGAAGAATTTTCCTAAACTCTGTTTTACATGGTAAGCGAGGAAAATGCAAATGCATTGGGCATAATGTTCCTCACAAAGAACACGAGGTCGAGCTATAAAAGGTCATAGCCTACTAAATTAATCATTCATTTTTATCCATTACATTCTAGCTAGTTCTTCAGTATTGTTCCCCATTCTGATGGCCCAATTATGATGAAACAAAACATGGGTTCAACTGTTATCATATCAAATCAAAATGATACCTGTTTATCCCTGCGTTTTAGTATCAATTTAGAGTTTTTGTATATGGAAGGAGGGTCTCAAAAGAACCTCACATTTTCAGAATGGTGAAGGTTTATAAGATAGAAGTTAATTGCTTTAAGGGTTTATGGTTATTTATTTATTTATTTCTGCTTCAGAATGCTTGTGTAAGAAATCCCTGCAAAAACAATTCCACTTGCCGAAGCGATTTTACTGGAAAAGGTTATATCTGTTTGTGTTCAACTGGGTTCAAGGGCCCGACTTGTCAAGAAGGTAAGACACGTTTTCAATACTAAAAAAATTATACAAAAACAAACGAAAAAAAACACACGTGGACATCACAGTTCGTGACGTATTGCTCGAAACTCCCGGGTTTAAGGTCTATATAATGTTGCAAACAAGTTTGGGTGGGCTTTTTATATCCTGGGGATGGGAGGCGCTGATGAAAAGATTAAAAAAGCCTACACGATCATGAAGTTGGAAGCTATTGCCCATGTTATCGACTAATAAAGCAAGGAAATTTTTTTTCAGATGTTGACGAGTGTGCTGAGGGATCACATAAGTGCAGTGTTGATGCTGTGTGTAACAATACCAAGGGATCTTACAAATGCATATGCAAACCAGGATACCATGGAGATGGATTGACGTGCGAGGGTAAAATTTTTAAATTTTCTCATCCTTTTTAATCCAATTTAGCCAGCATGGTAATTATCGATCAGAAACGTCTTTACAATCAAGACCGAAGGTTCTACTGTGAGAATACCACCTGCGACTTTGACAGGTGTTTCGTTCACTGCACACCACGAAGTTGCTCTTTTTTGGCTTCCCCGCTCAAGTTTATAGTATGTAATAAGTACGAGATTTAAATAAACTTATTAAGATAGCTTATCAAGCTACCAGTTTCATCCCAAAATGCTATTCAATTAGCTTACATTTGCTGAGTAAAAGTTTTTCGTCAGTTTTAAACGAAATGTTACTTGTCCAGTGTAATATGCGTATCAAGGCATCATCAGATTGGGGTGGGTATATACTGATCCAAATACACCTCAACAATACGCGAAATACCCATGTAATTCTGTACTTCATCTTATTTTAGGTCCTTTCTCTCATTCGTGCACAGAAATTTACAAAAGTCAAAGGTACGTAAAAAATCGATAATTATTTTCAGTTTAGTGTTAGGCTTGTGAAAGAAAACCCTAAAAATAAACCAAGAGGTTGCTGAACGCCTTCTTGTAAGAGTAAAACTAAAACTATACAGTAGAACCTTAACTGAACGGTCCCTTGGAGACCAAGAAATCTGGCCATTTTAAAGTAAAAGTCGTTCTAGAAGGTTGGTTTGACATTGCATCTGTTTTTACAAAAATCAGGTCTTTTTTGTCTTTCAAAATCTTTCGTTACTACGGGAGTAAACCAAGTTTTGCCATTCAAAAGAAAATGCATGTTGCCAATATAGAACGAAGAAGCCATGTTATGTGTTTCGCCAAAATAATTAACGACAACCATAATGTATTTTCTTGTTAGCAAGATGAATCTGACAAAGTTCCTCGCACGAGCCACTTTTCCCTCATTTTGCCAATTTATTCATCATTTCTCAGATATCAGGTCTACGATGGAGACCTTGAAAAGCCTTGCTACGCGATAAATATACTTTTCTATGCGAAAACGTTTCAAATACTAAACATATCTCGGGCAGGAAAAAGCTGCACGGCCCTGTGTGCTGTAAGAGAATTGAACAAAGGATCAAGAAGAGAGAGCGACACTAGGTCCCTATGTCGTGATCTACAGCCAAAAAGCCAGTTCATAGTAACATAGTTATTACTCCACGTAAATAAATAAATAAATGAAACAAATAATTAACACGTAGAAAAAAACTACTTAGCCTCAGCTCACAGGAGAATAGAGCTTATCAACTTCTAGTGGATTATGCGAAGGTCAATGTTTACTGTCACATGACTGATGACCTTGACAGCTGCGGGGGTGGTGGATGGACTATGGTAATGAAAATGGCCGGCGAGAAGGTATCTTGCTTCTCATCACTATTAAACTTGATGCAAATGTTCTATTGAAATGGAAAAATTTAACAGGTGACCTGTTGATGAAAGGGGCTATCATCAGTATGCGTTAAATACTATCCCTTAATGTATATCAAAATAATTGAGTTGATAATGGAAATTTGCAACCGACTGTAAAGATTTTCAAAGCTTACTTAGCACCGACTGCACGGATGACACTTTCCCCTTTTTAATCTCCCTTGTAAAGGGTGACATGACTAAGGTTTATCCTCCGAACATTGGCAGCGTAAGCCTAACGTGGAATTGTAAATTCATAAATGAATTCAGACGAATGTTTAGCCTCAATATTTATTCAGCTGAAAGACTGATCCAAAAAAAGCAACCAGGAAAGCGAAAAACAACAATAATAATAATAATAATAATAATAATAACAGCCTTAAGGCTCAATGCCGAAGGCCTCAAATTTACGTAAACTTGACAGATCAAGTTCCCCACTCTTGCTGAAAGAACATTTCGAATCATTATACCTGTTGTGGTTCTAAAAAGTTATTTTCAAATGGATTCAACCATCATTCAATTAACTTCAAATTTTCCATCTACATAGCCAAACTTCAACTATGATTCAGAACTTTGGAATAACACTGATGACTTCAATCCTAAAGGTGGGGAGACTGGGTTTGACTTAAATGAGACCAAGCTACCAACTTACTGGAAAACATCGTTCTCTAAGATTTGTCTTGGAATGAAGCTCGGCAATCTTTCAAGGTTCATTGTTATCAAAAAGGAAGCCAGCTCTTTGTACTCACTGATCGCTGACGGACATTATCATAAAACATCACTGGGTCGTGACACATGGAAGTCGCTGATTGGCTCCGAGGCCTCTTTACAATTAAATTGCAACAAGGAAGGGTTCAATGCTGTGTTTAAAGATCAGTTTTCCAAAGCAAGAATTGGTATCATTGCCAATAACCAAAATGATTGCAAATCCTGTGATTCCAGAATCGGCTTTGGCACAGGTGGCTCTCCTGACCACTCCAACACGTGTGGGAACGCTGCAAGACACGGAGGGGATAATGGCGACAAAGACATCAAAGCCATGGGCTACATCTTGGTTCAGTGACAAGATAATCGATATAATCGCCAGGAAATGGACAAAAAGCTAACCGAAAAGTTTTAACATTAAGATGTAGCAAAAGGGGTTTGAATAAGCAATTAGACGCCGAGCACGAAATTATCTAGTTTCGTCCTTATGGGATTTGCAATTTCGGATAAAAATTAACGCTACGCTGTTAGTCCTAGGGGAGCGCGTGGGGAGAGGAGAATGGGAGGGTAGTAGGGGGATAGGAGGACAAAAGACCTTCAGGTAATTGAAAAGATAGCGAGTCACCCCCAGCGTAGTCCGCCTAGATTCATCAGACCAATGAGATATGTATAAGTAGTTAACAGCCTGGTATTGTATTGAAAAACGTGTTTCATATTTGATCACAAAATTATTAGACGAAAATGTTAGTAGTGCACTTCTAGTAACCTCAGGGTTCATTTATGTTTTCCTGAAAATTTGAGGTCAGCGAATGGAATGACAGATGACCTTTGTAAAAAACATATCAGTCACCAATATTACTACGATTGTTGTCGTCATTACCATACCAGTAAATAAGTAGAGAACAACAAATCTTAGCAAACCGAAGGATATTACAATAAAGCTATGGAGCATAAAACAATGGTTGATTTTGGTAATATCACATAATATATATATACATACATTCCAAGTAGGTTCTCTGTACATAATAAGACTTCAATACTTCGGGTTTTAGAATTTAACTTTCGGATATTTGGAGGCTTATTTCATTATTTGCTGGTTTGTTTTACTTTACGATGTGACCGAGGTCGGTCACCTTACATCGTTTTCATGATACCCTACTGATCATATAAAGAGCCTAAATTCTCCGTCATGTTATAATAGATGGTTTTGCTTCATAAGATCACTCGCAACATTATCGATTCTCACCTTGTTACTTTGATGATCTTGTTTTGGAACGAAGCTATTTTAAGACCATCATATATTTCAGGTATAAAAACTCTCAGCACAGTTACTTAGGTGAACTCAGGCTAGTGACACCCGGTGAATTCGAAAAATGCTGGTCTATGACAAAAGTTATCGTATTTAAAAGAAATTAACTTAGTCACACCCAAGTTTCATTGATTAATCATAAAAGAGAGACACTCAGTTGGAGTCAATTACTAAATTTACTAAATACAATTCGCACATTTTTTGGGAGCTCAGATTTCAAAACCTATCTGCGACGTGAAAAACTCGAAGTAAACGGTGTTTTGCTACCGTTATGCCTATATGGTGTCGGCCTGTGTCGATTTGTAAGCTTAGTTTTGCCATTTGCCTTTTCTCAGCGAAGGATGGTGAAGGATACTGAAGAGATGTTTGTCTTTCTTGATCGTTCCTTTTATTTATTGCTTGTCATTTGTTGGAGGGGATTTTTTTTCTTCTCTGCTGCCAAATGAAGGGAAATCGATTTTTAGACTTGTAGTGCTATTTGGCAGATATTATTACTTATTGTTAAATTACCTAGATGATTAGTGAAGTGATTTCAATATTCTAGTTGCCCTCAATGGATTGTATACTTGGAAGATAAGGTGACAAACACGTTTCATTGGCATCATAACAATAGATAGCCTACAAGAAAGAAAACAACAGAATGACTTGCACGTTTAATTGGTTGGAAGAGAATCACAAAATTTTAATAAAAAAAAGAGATACCGAAACAGATTTTCAGATCAGCTCGCTCATCATCGAGAAGTTGGTCTCAAAATACCTTTGTGCCTTTTGTTGCCTTTCTCTGTCTCGTCTCAAGGTCAGTTTCTCCAGTGCCTTTTTTTGAGTTGGGGATGGTGAGGGTAAATTAGTAATATTTGAATAACGATTCTCATTAATCATACTTTTCGATTAACACCTGTCATTTCTTTAAATGAGGTATAAGGTTTTTCATCTTCACTAAAGAAATCCTTATATCCTTAAAATTCCATAACTTTTTATCTGAGGAAATCATAGGTGGATTGATAACTGTGTGATTGGTTTCCTTTACCAAAGTGCATGAATCTGTCTATCATTTGATGCGACTAAATTACGAGAGGTTTTCGTGTTTTTATCATAATCAATTTCAACTGTCAGCTATTTCGAGACCAACTTCAGCTTCACGCTTTTTTCAGCTATGTCATTAAATATTCCCTTTTTTTGTGACCTAAATTTTAATGCACTTCGACATGAGGACATAAAGTGAGAGAACTTAGTTGAATAATTTAGTCACACCCTTTGAATTAAATTCCTGTTGGCACCAATGGCAAATATATATTTTTTTTTATATTACAAAGAGATTTTTTGATATCCGCTTAGCTTCGTCGCAGCATGACAACCATCATTTTGAAAACCAATTTCTTTAAACTCCTTAAATCAGGTTGTTGTATTTTTCCCATTTTTCTTTAAAATGCCTTGTATGTGTGATTTATTGTATTCAGGTGGCAGTCATTGTATTTGTGAGCTTTTTTTTTAAATTATCCAATACTTTCGCGTTGCACCAAATTTGTATTCCAAAAGCGTTGTGAACTTGAAGTGATTTACATATTGTTTTTGCCATGGCCGAAGGAGGATTTCGCTTCCGAAAACAGTCGAGGAAGAAGCACTGAGTCCGTGTCACGGAAGGTAGAAAAAGTTTCTCAGAATGTGTAAAATGGATACTATGCCAGTCTGTTTCGGTGACTTTAAGAAATGTACTGTAAACTTTAATTTCAAATGAGTTGAGCTGGTCAGTTTGCAATTTGAAATGTCTTTCTTGGCCATTGATTGTTAAAAATTAATGATTCATGCTAAGTTGTGTTTGAGTAATCTATGAATATGCAGATTAAGAACAATTTTATCACTAGTGATGAAAACGTGATGAAACACTAGTTATTTTCAACTGGTGTTTCATTGAGTTTCAAAGTCATCCACCTGACCCGTATGGAGCGCTCTGGTTGGCCTATAACGTCATGAATTATTGATGAGTTTGAGAAGTTTCCATTAATAAACTTAAGCAATGCCAGGTTATGCAATAAAATCGGATGTATTTTCATGTTTTTCATATCTCTTCTTTTTAATCTAATCTCTATCTGTTTTAGTATATTTTGGATTTGTATAAGAGGAAGCTTCATATCATCCTTTTATTACACTGCTCCTCTTCTGTGTGTCCACTGTATCGCTTGGCCCTCTAGTGAACTCTTACATGTATTCCGGATAAAAACCAACATCTCCGACAAGAAGTCGATAAAACTTTCATGGTCAAGGGAAAAAACGCAAGTCATCAACTTCCCATGTAGAAACAGCTGTTGAGTAGTATTTACAAGTCCTACCTAGAGGTCCTTTAGAAGTGCAGTCGCTAGGTATTTCCTTGCTATTCAATCCTTAAAATTAAATTTAGAACTTCTTCCATTTAGTTTGAATTAATTGGTAATGAAAAATATGATTCTTCAATGATATTACCGAGATCAGAAAGTTTACAATCGCTAACTTCTTAATTAAGGATAATGTGGCACATTTCTCCGCAAAATGAAGAAAATTTATCATCCAATTCTTCATCTGGTGGTAGTACAGATCAGTGACTGAGAGACGAATGAATATGATGTTTGAATACTTTATTGGTTGAAATTCTAAAATGATTGACTTTAGGTTGATGTTTTATGAAAGATAAGGCATCGGAAATAGCCCGTGTCTTGCGAACTTAAAGAAAGAAAAATGACAACGCTGAAGGAGCTAATTGTAAGGACGCCAAATTGTAGAAAAGGAACACTTTTGACTTTTCGAACAAAGTGTTGAGGGAATTCTAGATACTAAACATTATATTTCCAGCTTTACAAAAAAGTACTACGCTTTTTCAACATCGCGCCTTCTTCGTTTGACAGCGCAGTTTTTGTTTTATTGAGTGGTATCACGTTGTCCCTCAGCGTGGTTCAAAGTTTGCAGAGGCCCAAATAAGTCACCTTTGTAAATCCTTTTTAAAAAGGGCCTATCAATATCGAGCCAAAAATCCAAATCTAAAGTTGACAAATCTAAGATGAAAAATCTACTCTATTGTGAGAAAACTGAAATGGCAAGACGGTTAAAACATTAAAAGAAGTTCACTTTCATATACACTTCTTTATCCGCAGTTCACATATATGATATTCATATTTTGACAGTCATCTATTCATGACTTCACGGGTTTAGTTGGAACCAAAATAATGACCTGCTTCCAATCGGCCTCTGAGCACTACACCGGTATCGCAGAGGTCATAGGTTTAAATCCCGTTCTAGCCTGAATTTTTCTCAGGCCTTATTTGCACTACTGCTTAAGTGGTAATCATTACGGCAAAGATGACTTTCATACTCATCCATTATATCTTTGTTGTTATTTCGAGACTTCTCTGATGCAGATCGATGTCGTATTTTGGCGTTTACGGCTGAAAAAGAAGTTAACGGCAAACACCTTATGAACCACGTGATTCGCATCGTTGAAGTCGAGGCGGAGGACTTTTGTGAAACTATGTGTTATATGGAACCCGACTGCGTCAGCATTAATCTTGATAAACGAGTGGGAAGAAACGGACACTACGAATGTGAATTGAATAATGTTACTCACGAAAGACACGAACGCGAGCTGGAGACGGAAGAAAATTATTTTTATCATGCAGCTGAGGTGAGTAATATTTTGTGTAATGAATACGGTTTCAGTAAAGCAATTACGATCTCGATTACATTTATTTTTCATTCTATAAATTTCTTTCGATTCGCCATCAGTTTTAAAATGAGAGACAAACTTAAAGATAACTCAATGGCTCAACCGGCAAAATTAATATCTTAGAGTATGATATTACAGTTCGAAATTTTTCCCTTTTCTACTTCAGAGCGCCTGTGTTCAAAACCTTTACAAGAATAACGCCACTTGTCAGAGTGGTTTTACCGTAAGAGGATTTCGTTGTTACTGTACTGCTGGATTCAAAGGTCGAAACTGTGATGAAGGTAAATCTTTTCAGTTACTCGGTCATAAGGTACTAATTGCTGCAAGCACTTGCGAGCTCGCTATATAAGGGATGGCTTCTATTGCCGCGAAGATAAGCTGGGATAATTTGCCACGGACATAAAATTTTCCAAGCTTCGCGTGAAAGATGATGTCCAAGAAAAACTGTTTGAGCTTTTTTCCTCGCTAAATGGAGGCTACTGAACATGTGTCTGTTAACATTCAGATGAT